TACTAGTGGGATGGCGAGGCCCTGCTGATGCCAAGTGGCTGATAGAGGCGCTGTCTATGATTTGGCCCTGTGCTGTGCCTTTGAGCAAAGGCAGGGTGTAGGCTTCTGGGGAACTAATACGTATTATTGGGATGGGGAGACGTGACGCCCTAACTAGTGCTCTTGAGTAGAGCGGTGCGAGATGACTAGCTATGATTTGGACCGTTTGGGATGTGAGGATGGGTGTTTGTTTCGCAGGATTATGATTCACCTTGCCTGTGTATGAGCCATTTAGTACCCTAACTGCCAGTATAACAGTGTTTGGTGTAAGTGGTATGTTGGAGCCCTCGTACCTGCTCGTTTCTCAGAAAAGGGGTGTAATCAGTCATGGGGCTTCTGAGATTATTGACTTGTCACCTGTGAAAACATTGGTGTCTTTTTTTATCGTTAAGTTTGGTTTTACGATAGATTTAAGCGATATATACCTGGGACAACAGTTGGTCCTCTAAGGGGTAGCCGCTGTGGGTGGTTACTTCTGGATCTAACAGCTTAAGGGAATGAAGTGACTTTTAGTTCACATACTTTAAGCATGCTTTCTTCATATGGTATACCCTTGTTTGTACTTGTGATGTATTATAACCTGAACGTCAAATTAACGTTGCTAAGTGTTAGCGTTTTGTACGTATCAGTGGCTTCTAGCATAGTCTTACCTCTAGTGTTTGTATCTAGTACTCAGATGGTTTTAGGTAATAAGTATGTGTAGGTTATTCTGATTAACTTGTGTCTGTGAGTGTGGCCGGCTGCCTTCATCTTTTTACCGAAATACTGCATTATGTCTGTGTTTAGAAACAGCTATGGATTTGGAATTTTGACTTACTGGTTGTACTTGTGAACTGTAGACGTATTCTTTAATGGAATGGTAATCATTGTAATGGTAATAATTTGAATGACCAATATTAGTATTTGTTATATTCCCTTTGTGCCTGAGCCTCCACCCCCTTTTCGTTGTATGGCATGTACTATTTATTTGACGTACCGTATGTATCAAGGAAATCAAAATGATTCAGAGAGTATGGCTCGGATTCTGGAATACATAATGACTGTGTGAGCATGCCTATGATAACGCCTTGTGACCCTACTTGTTTACTTGTTACCCCTGAAATCACCAGGCCATAGGTTAAAACATATACTTAAAGCGGCACTGTCATGCCAAACTTACCTTTCCTCAATTTCTTCCTCTTCTCCCCCTCTCTCAGGATCTGTTCTTCTTTTCTTCCTGTCTTCTTTAGTTTTCTTTAAAATCATAAGACAAAGTAGGGACTCTTTGCCTTATGGAGGATTCCTCCACTTGACCAGCTCTGACCAGCGGAGGAGCAAAGTGTGCTTCATTTCCGCTGGTCAGAGCAATTTTCCCATAATTCTTACCTTTCCTCTGTGTTCCCGCGATGCTTCCTGTCATTTTACACGAAACTGCCGAATTACGTTCTAACTGAATGAGAACAGTATGTTTGTTTCTTTTAGAACGCAATTCAGCATTTTATTAGGATCGCAATTTCATTCGAATGAATGAAACTCTGATCCTATTCTTGCTGTGGCTGCACCTTGCAGTCGCTTAGTAGATAACTCCCTAATTCCCACGGTATCAGGGAGTTATCTACTAAAAGGCTGAAAGACCTAAATTGGTCTTTCAGCCAACTTTACTAATACCAAGTAAAAATGACTTAGTATTAGTAAATAATATGCCCCTACTCGCTATACCGCGAGTAGGGGCATGTATGGTAAACAGTGAGCAGCCTGTGGCTGCTCACTGTAAAGAAAAATAAATAAATAATACTATTGGCCCCCACCCCTAAACGACGGGTGGGGGCCCTAAAGTAAAATAAGGGGGGAGACCTAATGTCCCCCCGGCCCCCACCCCTGCGCGGTGGGTGGGGGTCATAATGATAATTTCTTTTGAATTTTCCCACGATGTGTAAAATGACACAGAGCACTGTGATTGGATGGCTTGAAATCCATCCAATCACAGTGCTTTGTGTCATTTTACACAGCATGGAAAGTTCTTTTGAATTGGTGAGATTTTAATCTCCCTTGTGCTATTATGGGGGTCATATTGACCCCCATAGAGTGAGGAGGGACCTGGGGGGGGGGGCTTATGAAGTGGTGGGGAGCACTGCTCCCTCCCACTTCTATAGTTACATATTACAAGGAGCGAGCTGAGTGCCGGTAGCTCCCTCCTTGTAATAAACTGCATGAACAAACGAACACTGATACACAGTGTTTGTTTGTTCGGCTGACATTTCTATTCACTCATTCGGCTGTCTGATGAATGAGTGAATAGATGAAATTCCCGTTCACATGTCCAGGTGTTTCACTGGGCATGTGCGGGAATCCCACAGGGACTTCATCTACCCACACAAAGATGGCGGCGCCCTGAATAAAGATCGGGGCAGAAAACAAGGAATAAAAAATAGGTAATGTGGGAGGCTTAGGGGCATTTGGGGGTGACAAGGGTGTTAGTTAGATGTAGTGGAGGCCGGAGGGGGGTTAAAAAAACAAAACAGGATTCGGCATGACAGTGCCGCTTTAAAGCTTGTTATTGTGAGTGGGGAGTTTAACCAACTGCCCATATTCGTCATACTTATTTGTAACTGATTAGCTGTTTTATTACCAGACCTCTGCCATTTCGTTGCCATGGAGCGAGAACTGGAAATAGACCATGTGGAACTGCTAGACTCGGTTCAGCTGCAGAGCGTGGATGCAGACCCAGACCTGCCAGCCTACAGCTGGGAAGACTCGGCTGAGGTACCCCCTGCTTCACTACCAGCTGCAGAAGTAGGGGACCTCATAGACTGGTCCTGGGGGGACCCACAGATGGCAGATGGGACCGAGGTCTCTCTACCGGCCCTACAGGGATGCTAGGCAGCAGGCCCAGATCCCAACGGCAGTGCGTTGAACAGGGAGGGGAGACAACCAGTCTCTCTCCCTAGCGGCAACCAGCATCACAGGGAGAGGAGGTTGTCTGTCCTTTGTCCCTGCAGCAACCAGCATCACTGAAAGGGGAGATGGTCGCTCCCACTACACAGCACCAGGCAGCGTTACCAGGAGTCAAGACAGTCGGTCTGACTCCCCAGCTACAGGGAGAGGAGACAACTGGTCTCCCTCCCCAGCAGCAGTGTACCTTGCAGGGAGGGGAGACAACCGGTCTCCCTCCCCAGCGGCAAAGTGTATCATTGGGAGAGGAGACAGTCGGTCTCTCTCCCCAGCAGCAGACCGAATTACAGGGAGTGGAGAAAACCAGTCTCACTCCCCAGCGGCAGTGTCCCTTCCAGGGAGAGGAGACAACTGATCTCTCTCCCCAACAGCAGCTGGAGCTACCGGGAGAGGAGAAAACTGGTCCTTCACCCCAACCACATGGTGCAGATGGACCGTGGTCTCTGCACCAGACCTACAGGTGCTGGTCCTTCACCCCAAGCACATGGTGCAGATGGACTATGGTCTCTGCACCAGACCTACAGGGATGCTGGACGGCCGGTCAAGATCCCCAACCAACCCACCCAGGAAGGCCAGGAGGAGGAGGTAAGCGATCCCTCCTCTCCACAACAAATCCACAACCATGTCACTGACCGCATCCCAGCAGAAGAGCTGGCATCTGGGCAGAGTGCAGCTAGCCTCTGCCCTCACTGCCCCTTTGTTCTTGGGCCAGACGACCCACCAACCAATCCAGTGGAACAGCTGGCTACAGGGCAGAGCTCCTGTGACAGAACCAACTGCCTGTGAAACACTTTTATTGTTCCCTCATTCGTCTGTTTGTTTGGCTATCTCCCTGTACGTACGGTCCCTACGCTTGTTTCATTTATACCGAACAATTCACCGAACGGCTGGCCACCCAGCATGGAAGTGTGCTGCGGGTTAACCTCTTGGCCTCATTAGAACGTTGTGGTTGACCGCAGACACTTTCTAATTGTTGAATGCCGACTGGGTGGTAGTCGTTCGTATGCCGACCACGAGGCGGCGGCCATCTTGGACATGTGAATGCTCAGCGGTGTTCGTAGATGATTTCATAGAACTAAAAACGGACACTGTTTCTCACGAACACCGCTGAAAGCCGCAGACCTCCCTATTTTTCCAGCATAATGTACATGTAACGGCACCCTCGGCATAAAAGGGTTTAAACCACCGTTTAGTAGATCTTCCCCTTCCAGAGATGCAGGCACAGCTACTGTAGAACACCAAACTCCCGAACCGCATGTAAGGGAATGCTCCAAACTCCTGAACAGCATACAATATAGCACTCCAAACTCACGAACTGGAACCATACGAATAGCTGCTAGCAGACGAATAGGAAAAGCACCCAAGCGGCTTACACTCCTAGCAATCAGTCTCTATCAGCATTCAGTAAATCCCCCCAAAGACGAGACAAGGGTCAAGCAGTGGTCTGTTTAATGAGAGCTACCTGCCCAGTATTTATGCAAGTCTCCCACCTGGTGGACACTCCCCTAGGGCACCAAATGGGAGACTGTAACAAAAGACAGACAATCAGCAAAATAGGACACACAGTCACATTATATTCCCACAATGCATCCTGGTTTCCTCCCCTCTGCCCTGGAGATAATTGAGAAGTAATTCAATTATCTCCCAGGACAAAGGCAAATCGCCATTATGCACGTGGGGATACTAAAACATGAATTACTATTAAAATACACAGTATGACACAAGTTACAATAAAACTATACATTTAACATGTCCCCAGATAGCTCAGGTCTGAGCGCACATTATTAAGCGAATGGCGCTCAGACTATACGAATACAGTTTACAGTTTAATCAGATAGGGATTCCTATCTGGGGTATAGTGCAGTCAGGTACAACTACCGAATGCCGGGCCGTTCATGTACTTCCACCGACCAAGAAGGAGGTCGGTGGTTTCAGCGGTGTTCGCACCAAACTGTGTAAATTTTTAGTTCCATGAATTAAGCGTCGAACACCGCTGTGCGTTCATGTGTTTAAAATGGCTGCGACCTCGAGTTCGTTATACGAATGGCGGCCACCCAGTATTCGTCAATTAAGCTGCGGTTAACCGCAGCTTCTGGGAGGCTAATTGCCGGCACACTCCAGCTCCCAGGTGGTCTAGTCATTCGTGCGGTTGTTCGGTAGATTGAATCTACCGAACACCGGGCAGAAAAGCACGAATAAGTCTTTTCTGCAGGGGAAACAAAGTCTTTTAACATGGGGCCATAATCCAAAGGTAGCAGGCGAGCAACCAGGCTTCGCCAATGCAATGTGGCGAGATTGCTCTTGTCACAGTACATATATACAGAAATCGAATGAATCTCAATGTATGCCTGCAGTACATACAAATAAAGAGAGTGCACTGGAGGCAGAAAAAGAGAGGTATTGCAACAAATCATCATGTAATAAGAGGGATTTAAACAATCTGACACACATAGTGATAAATTAAATATAAAATCCTGTAAGAAGTGGATAACCAATGCCAGCTAATAAAGGAACAAGGGAGGGATTCACCATAATTAGGACAAAACCACAGTTACCTCCCACACATCTCCTCACCTCAGTGTGACATCTAATCCCATTAAACATGCTGTAGTTTCCCCCAAGTTCTGCATGTACCCCAAAACAAGCAGTTATAATAATACTTTGGGTACCCCCTGGTAGCACACTCCAGCTCCCAGGTGGTCTAGTCATTCGTGCGGTTGTTTGGTAGATTGAATCTACCCAACACCGGGCAGAAAAGCACGATCTAACATATCCAAAATTCACCCAGATCGGACCAGGGGTTCGGGAGTTAGGAGGAGGGTGTAATTTGACCGACCGCACATGAGGTGGTATCCGAAAAAGGCTCCATGTGTTTTGGCCTTGCAGTCGGTCTCTGTTCGGGAGTTAAAAGACATAGAAATACCTGCCATCCACTGTTAATCTTCCATTCGTATTAATTCCCTTGTTGGGGACATTGATTTTACTGAACGAGGGGCTCACTAGTCCCTCCGTTAGTGAGTTATGGAACTCTGGAGGTCTCAGCGTTGTTCGGTTGTTTGAGTGTCTGATTTGAGTTCCAGACACTCAACGACCAAACACCGCTGAGATTTTCATGTGTAAGATGGCCGCCGCACGTGGTTCGCATGCCGAACGGCGACCACACAGGCACATACAATGTATCAATTAAGCTGCGGTTTGCAGAGTGTGAACGCTTAACGAGGCGCACACTTCTCACTGGGGTGGTCTGATGGTTCAGTAGTTTCATTCGTATCAAACTACCGAACAATCATACGAAAACTACATACATTTTACAGACATACAGGGAAACAATTACACAAATACATTTTCAATAGGAATTCCTAAGGACAGCCTTAACACAATCCGCTACATACACTATTTAAATTAAAAATCCACTTCATTTCCATTTGACCCATCTTTTTGATGGTGTCATCACCTCTCCAATTAAAGTTAACTCTCTGAATCCCTAAAAAAATCATCTGGTTCGCATCACTATTGTGTTTAATTTTAAAGTGTAATGGTAAACTGTGTTTAGTGTATCCATTTCTAACGTTACGTACATGTTCTTGTATCCTATCTTGTAGGGGGCGAGTAGTGTGTCCTATATAGGCAAGGTTACATGTGCATTTAATCATATAAATTATGTATTTGGAATGACGTAATAATTTCTCGGATTTTAAACTTTTGATCACTATCTCGAGGATGTTGGAAATCTTTTACATGGCATTTGAGACCTTTTGTGTTTTTACAAGCGCCACATATTCCACACCCATAAAATCCACTACTTTCGTTAAGTGGATTTTTGTTAGTAGTTTTCTTCAAGGAATAATGATTTTGGGTCAAGTTACATTTTAAATTAGGGACACCCCTATAGATGGCTTTTGGTCTATCTGGGAGGATTTGATTTAGGACCTCATAACTTTTCAAAGTGGGCCAATGTTTTGTTAGAATTTTCTTGAGTTGATTGCTCTGACAGTTAAAGTCACTTATAAATGGTACATTATCCCAGTTCATATTTAGTTGTTTGTTTTTATACTAGATCAATGATTCTCTGTCTTGTAAATTGATTTCATGGAGAGCCTTCTTAAGAAGTGAATTATCATAGCCCTTATCACTGAAATCACCAATAATTCTTTGCGCTTGTTCACAGAACTTATCGTTATTTTGGAGCGTTCAGGAGCCACGGAGAGTAGTGACAACTGTTGGATATAACTATTTACATCTATTTCTTTTTAAAAAATGTGCTCGTTTTGATTATATTATCTTCTATATATATATTGTTGTTATCTTAATGTTCCAAAAACTGTTTTAGTAATTGCTCACTTCCGCCCCCACCCCCCAAAAAAATGTAATCAATGTAGCGGCGATAGGCTACCAGATTTGCACTCCATTCTGGATATCCAAAAATATGTATCTGTTCCCACTGAGACAGGAACAGATTGGCGTAACTGGGTGCGAATCTGGTGCCCATCGTTGTACCGCACAAATGCAAAAAAAACTGGTCATCATACCAAAAATAATTATTTGTTAATATCCAAAGAATCCCTTCCAATATGAAGTCTATTTGTGCGGAGGGAAATGTGTCCGATGTTTCTAAAAAATGTCTGGTTGCTTCAAAGCCTTTGTCATGCGAGATAAAGAACTGACATCAGCTGTGACCAAAACATAATGACTATCCCATTGAATGTTTTTAAGGATCTGAAGTATGTTGAGTGTATCCTTTAAATAGCTCTGGGAGCTCTGCACTAGAGGCTGTAGGCAGTTATCAATATATTGCAACAGCTTACTGGATACAGAGCCAATTCCCAAAATAATGAGGCAACGTGGTGGTCTGTCCATTTGCTTATGTATCTTAGGGAGATAGTAAAATATAGGTATTTTTGGATATTGTACGCTGAGAAATTCAAATTCTTTTGCATTGAGAATGCCTTCCATTCTACCTTTATCAATTAATTGATTATAAGTGATCTTAATATCATTAGTGTGGTCCTTATTTTATATGTACAGTTATCTCCCAATAAACTAAGAGATTCTTCCAGATAGGCTGCTCTCTCCAAAAGTTCAATACCCCCTCCCTTAATGACGAGCGTGTGATCTTCTCTAAAACTTTTTAAGGCCTGGCATTCAGAAATTTTTTAATTGAAATTACTTCTCTTAGGTTCTTTTATTTTGTTTACATCTTGCATAAGCATCCTTTCAAACGTTGTCATCTCCTCTGAGATATATTGTTTAGGGAAGAAAAGGGAGGGATTCTTTAACAAAGTGTGTTTAAATTCTGAATCAAAGTAACAACTGAACATGCTCCGAGTGACAACACCTATACATGACAGTCAAGTGAATCAGAATGGACGGACGCCACGCTACTTCCGGGTTTTGAGTTCCCAGACTACAATGTCTTACCCCTCCGCACAAATAGACTTCATATTGGAAGGGATTCTTTGGATATTAACGAATCATTATTTTTGGTATGATGACCAGTTTTTTTTTTTGCATTTGTGCGGTACGGAGATGGGCACCAGATTTGCACCCAGTTTCGCCAATCTGTTCATGTCTCGGTGGGAACAAATACATATTTTTGGATATCCAGAATGGAGTGTGAATCTGGTAGCCTATCGCCGCTACATTGATGATATTTTTTTATTTGGGGCAGAAGTGAGCCATTGGGGTATTAAGCTAACTAGCACCTACAGTAAGGAGTGTGTTAGTTTCCTAGATCTCAATATATATATATATATAGAAGATAATATAATCAAAACGAGCACATTTAAAAAAAAAAAAAAAAATAGATGTAAATAGTTATATCCAAGGAAACAGTTGTCACTACTCTCCATGGCTCCTGAATGCTCTAAATTCTCAACTTATGTGGATAAAACAAAAGTAGTGGAAAGTAGTAACGAAAGTAGTGGATTTTATGGGTGTGGAATATTTGGCGCTTGTAAAAACACAAAAAGCCTCAAACGCCATGATAGTGATCAAAAGTGATCAAAAGTTTAAAATCAGAGAAATTATTACATGTCATTTCAAATACGTAATTTATATGATTAAATGCACATGTAACCTTGCCTATATAGGATGCACTACTCGCCCCCTACAAGTTAGGATACAAGAACATGTACGTAATGTTAGAAATGGATACACTAAACACAGTTTATCATTACACTTTAAAAATAAACACAATAGTGATCCGAACCAGATGATTTTTTTAGGGATTCAGAGAGTTAACTTTAATTGGAGAGGTGATGACATCATCAAAAAGATGGGTCAAATGGAGTGGATTTTTAATTTAAATAGTTTACAACCATACGGCTTAAATAATGACTTTGAGTTTTGCCACTTTTTACAATAGGATATTTGATTTTATTTTTATTGACCTATTTTAATCCATGTTCCTTTATTAGCTGGCATTGTGTAGCAGATGGCACTGGGCTGTCCTGAGAAATTACATGTATTTGAATGCATTCGTTTAAAGTAACTAAGTTCTATGTGTTAAATATATTGTATTCATCTAAATGTTAGGTAGTTTCATTCCCTTAGTTTGTCCGAATTAAACTACCGAACAGTCAGACCTCCCCTGTGTGAAGTGTGCCTTCAATTACCCGTTGCAACATTGTCTCCCTAGTCTCTGTAGCTAGAGGCTTTCATGCAATTTATTCCCTGACTCCAGGACCAACCGCAGGGCCCATTCGCATGGAACCTCATTCGGCTGTTCTCTCCAGTGCGGTCGGTCATTTTATTCCCTCCATGAATTTCCCGAACCCCTGGTCTGATCTGGGTGATTTTGGATATGTTGTTCACCCAGATCAGGGCTACCAGGGTGTGACGAGACCAATCTCGCCACATTGCATTGGAGAAGCCTGGTTGCCCGCCTGCTGCCCCTGGACTATGGCCCCCTTTTAAAAGACATCTTTTTTTACCTGCAGAAAAGCTTCATTCATGCTTTTCTGCCTGGGGTTCGGTAGATTTGTTTGAATGTGTTATACCCCAGATAGGAATCCCATGGAGCCCATTTGTATGAAACTGACTGTAAAGACTTTGGCTCCATGGCGATTAAACTGTATTCGTGTGGTCTGAGCGCCATTGGCTTAATAATGTGCGCTCGGACCTGAGCTATCTGGGGATATGTTACATGTCTGTGTTTTATGTAATAAATGTGACTTTATGTATTTTAAAGTGTTTTGTGTCTTTTTGCAACCATGTGCTTAATGGAGTCTTGTAAAAAGAGATAATTGAATTACTTATCTCCAGGATAGAAGACTCTGAAACTGGTTTGGGCCAGAAAGCCATGCTTCAT